TGAGACAGACAAAAAAGCTCCATCTCAAAAAAAACAGACAGGCCCCTCCAACTTCACGAGAAAGAAGAGAGCTCCGTGTACTCCTCAGTCGGCAAGTAAAGACCTCCTTTCTCTTTAGGTAAGGTCTCCAGGTAAAGGAAAAGGATCCCGACTATCTCTTTTACCTTTTCAAAAGATGGAAGAGAGCATGCGCTAAAGAAAAAAAAGTGAAGCTCCTCCCAACCCTCGAACAAAGACGTCTGGTCCTCCCCCCAAGAATCGGTTGGCGAAAGTTGCTGCCATTGGCTGTTTCCTGAATGAGTTGGATATATCCACGAAAAAGTCAATCGGAGCAAATTTTGCCGAAGAATCGGTTGTGGAAATTTGCTGCGGTTGGCTGTTTCCTGATTGAGTTAGATATATCCACGAACACGTCAAGCGCAGCAAGTTTTGTTGGAAAATCGGTTGGAGATATTTGCTGCGACTGGCTATTTGCGAATGTAAATATTTTATCACGAACTTTCCAGAAAATAAATACAGCGAAGGGCGGTTCGATAGCACCGAAAATTCTCCGAAGGGTGTCGTTTCAGAAAAATGTGGTGCTACCGAACCGCTGCACGGATAGCACCAAATTTTACGAAGGGTGTCGTTTCCGACAAGCTATCGAACCGCTGCGTTGTCCTTAAATGAAGACAGCGAAGTGCGGTTCGATAGCACCGAATATTCCGAAGGGTGTCGTTGCAGAACATGTGGTGCTATCGAACAGCTGCGTTTTCAGAAAATGAAGACAGCAAAGCGCGGTTCGATAGCACCACATTTTCCGAAGGGTGTCGTTTCAGAAAATTTGGTGCTATCGAACCGCTGCGCTTTCGGAAAAAGGGCGGTTCGATGGCACCAAGGGTTTAGGGTTTTGGGGGGTTTCGACTCTCACACTCGCACAAGCAGGCAAGTTTAGGGGGTGGGTTCATGGGGTCTGGGGGAGGGGGTCCGGGGGTGGGGGGGGGGGGGGTTTCGGGGGTCCCAGGACTTTTCCAGTCTGGGGAGGGGGGGGGGCAGGATTTGGGGAGGGGGTGCAGAGCGGGTCCGGGGGGGAATCCGGGCCCAGGATTTAACTTGCTTAAAGTATTCAATTCGCCCCCAATTAAATAGTTTGAATAATCTAAATATTCGGGAGGGGGTCCGGGGGGGGATCCGGGGGGGCCACCTCCAGATTTACATTCTTAATTCCCGGTCCGCGCTAGCCTCCCAGGGCCCCGAGACCCCCCCCCTCCCAATATTTAAATTTTTCTAAGTTGTTTACTTAGCGGCCCGAATCAATTACTTTGAATCTGAAACCCCCTCAATATCTAGATCATCCAATTGTCTGCCCCGACGCCCCAGGAAACAGCAATGTCAATAGGGTTTATTTGCCTCTTGTGTAAATAATAGGGATTTGGAGCATCATCTGCTCTCTACCGTACAAGAGCCAGCTTCCAAATAAACCCGGTTTTAAGCCGCACCCCCCCCCTCCCGCTGACCTTGTACAATACGGCAGCGACCCTGTAGTGATCGGGGGAGGGCGCCCTTAATCAATCATTTGTGTCCTTCGCCCCTGTTAACCATTTTGAAAGTGCCAGAAAAAGGTCCTGGACACGATTTGACCTGGGTCAATACTACTGGGTGAATTGGTGACGACTATGACGACCACGATGTGCTGCCACGAGTGCAAAACTGGACTTCGCTCGCGAATCATCTTCGTGATCCAAGGCTGGTGCCACACCGAGAATTGCAACTGCTAGTGCCAGCCACCCCATTGGCACGATCACCTCAGCTGTTGGTGTTGATCATAGGAAAAGACTGCGAAAGCAAGTTGATGTGCTTATTTTTAGTTACAGTAATTATATAGTATGTAGGAATGTAAGAACATGATGACTTTTCATGTTGCTGCTAAGTCAGTGGCCAAGGGTGTTACTGCGCAAGCCAGTAATGGTACCTTTCCTTTTGTGCTTATTCGAACTGTACGCGTCAAGACGAGACGTGACGTCAGCCTGACTGGAAGTGTTGCAACCCTAGCAGGTCGGCAAGAGGCGATATTCCAAGCGTTGTTGTCCAAGCCTGGCAATCGGGATGTTCTGTGGGGCATTGGCCGTGGGAGACTTTGTCATGCAACTCGTGCGGCCTCCAAGATCTATTGGGTCACTGATCTTATTCGTGATGGAGAAGTTCCGAAAGCAGAACTTGTCCTCACGCGCTAAATTGTTCACGAACCGGGAAGCACTAGCAACTGAGGACAATCGGTGCAGCTGCGCAAACAATCACACGATGCGACACAAACCCGGCAATACTAGACTTGCATGAGCTTGTGCCACCGAAGTGTCTGCAATCATGAAGTCTGCCGCGATGACAAAGCCTCCGCCGCAGTCGCACGGCTTCGGAAAATGTCCGCTGATGTGGCTGCGGCCAAGTGGCCAGAAGAGACGATCGAGGCGACCGCAAGCAACAGCATCGACAGCTGCGTGCATGTCATGACCTCCCACAAAAGCACCGAGCATCCAGCAACTTTCAATGCTCACCCGCTAGAGAAAAACGCCGGTGAAGTCAGGCCTGCCACTGCGAGACCCGCTTGAATGCAGCGTTGTATTCCTTGTAGGCAGCGCTGGCATCAGCCGGTTGTGCGGCGAAACAACACCGGAAAACCGCGACAGAATATTGCTCGGTTTCAGGACTGCTTCGGTTGCATCAGCTGTCTCTCTACACTCCACATCCATTGCTCCGGCAAAAGCCCTGCTGGCTGGCAAGCGGCTGCCTCCTGCAGATGCGAGGCTTCTCATATGGCAACTCCCACACTCTGACGGGAACCATTTGTATCTGCTCATGCAAAGACTGAGACTGGTCGCCTTCGCAGTCAACTTTGCGACGGCTTCGTGCTCTGGCCGTGGCTTGGCCAACTCGTCGCCGTCCTTTCGCAAACGCAGCTCGCTTGCTCGTGTTTGGTTCTGACCCGCCTGCTCGACTGTCTTCATAATGCGCCAAGTGAACAAGAGTATCGCTGAGGCCTGGCTGTGCGGTCATCTTATGCTCGTGAGCCACAGCGATCCTATGACACCCCTCCTGGATGGCCGCTGCAAACCCGGTGACCGCACCAGACACCAGTGATTGTATCTGAGCAGGGCAGCACCCTTCGACATGAGGGGCGCGTCTCGACATCAGGCGCATCTGAGTCAAACACATTGCTCTCGTTGTCGGCATCCGGACTGTACCTCAGAGCTTGAGATTTAGAGGCCCATGGTGGACTTGTGGTTCGCTTCGCCTTTCTTGCGAGCGGGGTGCGTCAAGAGAGCTCCGGTAGCGACTTGCGGAATGATGCTGACCTGCAGCATCGACACTGGTCACCTTCAAAAAAGCTTTGGCAACACAGCATATTGTCCATGCTGTCGATACAGCAGTTCTTCTGGATGATGTTTTGTAAAGGTTTACCGAGTTTGCCATTTCCCTCCGGTCTAATTAAGTCGGCTTGGGTGACGACCAACTCAGGAACCCCGGAATTAGGGAAAATCTAAACTCTGGAACTTAACTCGTGGACTGCTTGGAACAATTCCGGAACTGGGACGACCCAATTCGAGAACCTTGACGTCTACGTTCAGGAACCAGTGGGCCAAAATTCAGGAACCAGTGAATCTGTCCGGATACGCTGCTTCAAGACAAATATATAATTCCGGAACACATGGATCTGACTTCTTGCATGTCGGCCAGGCTGCTTCAAGTCAGATATCTGTAGCTAACACCAAGCCCGAAACCAAACCCCGAACCCTGGAGCTGAAAACCTAAGGCCGAACCGACACCCTAAACTTTAGTCCCCACACCCGGACCTTAAAGCCGGAATCCCCACGGCAGAAACCCTAAACCCGAAATCCCAAGGCCGAAACCGACACTCGCAAACCGACATCCCCTGGCCGAAACACCAAGGCCGAGACCATACAAAGGAAACCTTGCAGCCGAAACCCAAAGGCCCTGAGGACGAAACCCTGAGCTCTAGAGGACGAAACCCCCAAGACTCTAGTCCCCAAACCCTCAATCTGAAGGCCGAAACCCTAAATCTTGAAGCCGAAATCCCAAGTCCGAATCCCGAGGCACACAGCAGCCGGACAGGCACGGTTCCTGAATTTGACCCTCGTGGTTCGTGACTTGGGGCCTTCGGTTTCTTGAATTTGGTCGTGTCTGTTCCGAGCCGCTGGGCCTGAATTGGTCCATGCTGTTCCTAACTTCTGTGCCTGAATTACGGGGTCAGTTCCTGAATCGGTCTACACCCAAGTCGGCTTCCATGAACTGTCAGACTGGAAAATTCTTAGAACCCCAGCTCATTCTCGTTCAATTACTGTCTTGCTTGCTTGCTCCAGGTTTGAGGCAGGGGTGGTCCCCCGACCCTCCCCCCCGCCGAAGGAGACCCAACCGCCCAGCATCCAGTGCCACAGACAGTGGGCTTGAAACTGCTTGGGCACACTGAGCACTCAAGAAATCCCCGCACACCCAGGTAAGTAGAGACACACTGATTTGGAACGGGAAAATCCGGGAAAACAGTCGATGCAGCTGCCCAGGCGCTGCGTACGGCAAAAATGCATCGGCTTTGGAAGGCCCCATGGGGCCGTCTTTCAAGAATTCTCAGGGAGTGGCTCAGGCCCGGTACTGCTCGGGCTTAGATGACTCAGTGGCCCGTCTGGATTGGTTCGCATGGACACCCAAGGCCAGAAAGAACAACTGTGCAAAACTTTCAGACGCAGCT